ACGGGCGGACGCAGTAAGTTATTGAACTTATTAAACTATGTAGAGCATATCTTTTGTTTCTTCAGATGTGTTGTTTTTCTTCCTACAAACACGGAGGCATTAGGTTTTAATCTTCATTTACAGCTGCATAATATTTATACGGAGAAGCAAACAGTCTCGCGAGCCTTATTGGAAGTTGAATATATTCTATGTCATCACTGCATTAGGAAGTATAGTCTACATTTTCATTTCGATATGCTGCTATGAAACGGGGTTTTTCCCCTCAGTGTTCATTATTTGGTTTTGAGAGACGGTTAATCATGTGATGTGATGTGAGTGTTTATTTGCAGCCGGAAGCCTGTATGGTGGTTGTTATAATATAGCTGTGATTTTATGGAATTATTTTTGTGCCAATAAAAATGTACGTAACTTTTCAAGAAATCAATGAAAATATAAATTGAAACTGAATAAAATATCTTTGAAACTGAAAAAGAATAACTCGCTGGCAAATTTATTGACTTCGTTTTTAGTACACTGCATGTTTTGCTAACTATTTCTCATATTTCTTTCGCTGATCTGAACTTACAAATGCGCTTCCAGAGTTTTCATTTACGCTTCTGACATTTTCGTTTACGCTTCTGAAGTTTTCGTTCGCAATTCTGGCACAGACCTACCGTGTGGGCGGGCTTAACAGCGGTTTGCTCTCATTGGCTAGTGAGATTTGGATTGACAGCTCCTTGAACCGGAAGGAGAGACTTCAGCGGCGCGAATTTTGGAATCTGTGTGACCATAGACATCATCGTGTGTGACAGTCTAACAACAGTAGCAGCTAGCACATCATCAATATTAATAAAACCGAGATGAGTAATCAGGAGCGGCACGGAGCATCATCAACATCCTCAACTGCAGGGCATTCGAGGCAGCCCGAGGTAAGTTTAATATCAAATCCATAGACAAATCTAGAAACAAGTTTTTTCTGCTCTCTATCCAAGTTATGTCTTTATTTAGATCGTTCATTAATGAACTGGGCTGCGTTTCTGAATCATTGCGAGGTAACGATCGTAAAGCACTTTGATGGCTGGTTGTAAGTTATGTTTCTTTTGTGAAACGCAGCCCTGGTACTTCTTAAAATATTTTTTCTTGAATCATCTAAATCATCTTCTTTTGTATTTAATAACAGTGTTGTTAACCGTTAAGTAAATTATTCTATCTTTGTGATTGTCCATAAAAAAATAGAATCTTATTTTCTTTTGATATTATTGTTTAGGGCCAAAGAGAAATGTCACTTCTCCAGGTAGGCATACATCCATTCATGTTATTCTAATGCATAAAAAAACGAACGTGGGTAACTTTTTAGCTGTTTTTTAATATGCAAGGGATTTTATTAGATTTTAAATGTCTAACGTTACCCTGCTAAACTTGGCAAGATCAGCATGGAATTATGTAATGTTAGTTACCTTGATATGTAAGCTAACCAGGCATTGTTTATACCTGCAGGAACAAGTGCAAGAAGATATCTTACAGCGTATGCTAACCAAATTTAACTTGATTTGTCGGAATGAAGCTATAGATTTGGAATACCTCCTGGATGTTGCTCAGCAAGAACTTGCTTTGGCTATTAATGCATCAAATCATGTTAACATCCCAGATAATTTAATTAGGGGTCTACAGGAGTTAATCAACGTAGTTAATATATCTCTGAATTCGGAAGACCCTTCAGGAAATCCGTCAGAAATTGTAACTTACATCTGGGGAAACGTGGGACGCCCACGTTTGGAAATCAGCAGGGATGACCTTAAAGAGCTTCTCACTACTGCTCTTCCTGTAGAAACTCTTGCACAGCTCTGTGGTGTTTCAAGAAGAACAATGAACAGAAGACTGAAGGAGCAGTCCCTCTCTGTCAGAGGCTGCTATTCCAGCATATCGGATAATGAACTTGATCGTGTAGTGAGATCAATAAAAATAAGAATGCCCCATGCTGGTTACAGGCTAGTAAAAGGGGAACTTTTGGCTAGAGGGCACCGCATACAATGGCACAGGTTGAAGGCCAGTATGCGACGGGTGGATGGAGCTGGAATTTTGGCCAGAATGCTCCAGCTTGGTTTTGTAGCTCGTAGAAGTTATTCTGTTCCTGCTCCATTGTCCCTAGTTCATGTGGATACCAACCATAAACTAATCACGTGAGTATTTGAACTCTAAATTTCACTTGCATACACACACATACAAAAAATATTGCTGTCTTCACACAGTGATGCATCCATATGTACACAAAACAAATGACTTACAATAAACAGCATAGTTGTGTCTGTATTTGTCTTTAGTTTCAACATTGTGATATTTGGGGGGATTGATGGATTCTCAAGGAAGGTACTGTTTGTCAAACTTTGTATATGGTCTGTTTTTAAACTCAAAAGGTTATAATAGTTGCCAGATTTGTCACTACAAATTGGTATCAAAAGTAAATGTTCTATTATAAAATATTAAAATCGTTTTAATTTTAGATCCTGTATCTTGATGCTGCTGCAAACAACAAAGCATCGACTGCTTTCTCATTTTTTTTGGAGGGTGTCCACAAACATGGGTGGCCGTCGAGGTAAAAATTATCTTTACTACATGACATGTTAGTCATGGTGATTTATCAGTGTTTGAACCTATGAATGAGACCTCTTCAAATCTTTTGTCAGATCGCCTCTTTGATAATTCGCACAGTGATTGTCGCTCACATGGGCGGGCACTGATATGCTTCAGATTTCAGGCTTTTGTCAGCAGTCTCCACAAAACTGAAAGTGATAATCAGGGCTAAAATCATCTGTGTGCTTGACAATAAATATACAATTACAGGAACTTGTAAAAAAGTTTGTAAATCAATAACACCATGCATGCATGCATGTTGTCTAAATCTTTTCCAGAGTACGTGGTGACCAGGGAGTTGAAAATGTGGACATCGCTCGTTGCATGTTTTCAGTACGAGGAACGGGCCGAGGCAGTTTCATTTCTGGAAAAAGTGTGCACAATCAAAGGTACAAATCAAATCATTAAGAGTTGCATCACATGCTCTTTATTTCTTGTGGGGCACAGTCACTTGCCTTACACATGATGCCACAAACAAACATCTCTAATTTAATCTCAGCAGAAACCACTCGAGTCTAATGTTGAAACTCACTAACAATGAGCAAATTTATTTTTCAAATCTCCCCTGATTAAAGGGGTGGTCGCACTACACCGTTTGTTATATTGACTTCCATTTATATACATTCAGTTGTGGGAGACTGAAAATGTAAGCACATGCAAAGAATTTTCTCAAATTGCTGCATGTGCAGCTTTAAAATTGGTGTTCTTTCAATTCAGTTTAGAGGTCACACCATGACGTATCTTCGAAACCTGAACTTTGTAATGCAGCAATATGATAATTATTTGCATTTTCTTTACTTTTTTGTAAGCTATGATTTGTGCATACTTATGTGTCTTTTTATTTTAGAATTGAGCGTCTGTGGTGTGATGTTTGGTCAGCCATCTCTTGTAAATATTATGAAGTCCTGCACACAATGGAAGAAGAGAGAGTGCTTGATCTATCCGATGAGCTGCACCTCTTTTGTGTGCACTATGCAATTCTTCCACGGTTGAAATCGGACCTGAAGGGCTTCACGGGGAGCTGGAACCACCATCCGATCAGAACAGAGGGAAATCTTTCACCAGAACAGCTTTGGTACATCGGAATGTTACAGACACCAGTGGATGAGCCAGATATAGAGGTATGCTTTAAGCATCTATGCAAAGTTAAAAAGATTACACATCCAAAAATGCTAATTCTGTTTTCATATGCTCAACCTTAAAAGGTATTTCAATTGAAAATGTTCATGTCGTTTCAAACCCGTAACTTTCATCCATCTTCAGAACACAAATTATCTTTTTAATAAAATCTGAGATATTTCTGTCCCTCCATTGACACTATACATATAACTACCACTTTCAAGCCCCGGAAATCATGTCCTTTAAGAAATATATGTGACTCCAGTGGTTTAACCTTAATTTAATGAAGCGACTCGACTGCTTAGTTTTTCAGTTCATTACTCTTCATTTGACTAATGTAAATGTATTCAATTGAAGACCCGATTTAGTTTTAGAGCTATCAAATATAAATGTAATGTAAATTGTAATGTAAATGTTTTTATTTTTTCAGATAGCTGAATAATTAATGCTTTTCCATTTTGGCACTATTATCTTGACATAGCAAGAGGGCTCTCAACTCCGGCCCTCGAGATCTACTTTCCTGCAGTTCAGCCACAACCTTGTGTATTTGATTAAGTTTAGAGCTAAACTCTGCAGGAAAGTGGATCTCGAGGACCAGAGTTGAGAACCCCTGCAATCGTGACTCATTTCAATGCCTGGTATAAATAGGGCCTAAAATACATTTAGGCAAATAAATGTCAGGATTTTCATTCTGGGTGAACTATTAATTTACTTAAATATAACTTCTTTGGGATAAGATAATTAACCAGTTTATCAAACTAAATAATTTAGGTCAGCCTTAAGTTTTTATAATTAAAAGCAGTTAACAGTAAAATAACAATGGTTTCTTTTTTCAGGTGGTGGAGCAACTTTTTCGAGAGGAAACTCCTGATACTGACTCAGAGGATGGTGTGGTGGTGCCAGAGATCCATTGCCCTTTTTCTGACCAAAAACTTGCTGTTCTGCATGGATTGATTAATCCCTTGACATCACCATTGAATGACAGGGAGCTTTATGTCCAGACACTTGCTATCATCCAAAGATTGTGCTCTATTTAACATTTAAATGTTTAAGTAAAACACTCACAAGTACAGATGCAGTTCTGTCGGAATTTTAATTAAAAAAGAAAATCAGTTAATTGCCATTAAAACATTTAATTAATTTTATACAATGCTGTAAAACATTTAACCATTCAGAAGCATGTAAAGTTATTAACACGTTGAACATTTTCTCTTTGAATTTTAAAGATGAAATTAAACCTATTGAGAGAAATTCTATGTGGACATTTCAGTTAATTTTTAAATCTACACCCTAAAAAAGCAACCTCCATGTTGCACAGCTGTTTTCATTATTTCTTTAAATTCATCACAATTTGACAGATGTGCAGTGGGAAATGTAATGGTTTGGGTGCATGCACTGATGATTGGATAGCAAAGTGTGTGGCTTGGCAGTCGTTGCATACAAGTGTGGTCAAACTGAACAGTGATTTTAAAGGCCTCTCTCTCTGACAGAAGCAGGTGCCTATGCGCTTGACCAGTCAGCCACTGCATCACCTGAGGGACAGAGAGTGCTGCCTCATCCTGAGCATCTCCATCTAGGGCAGTAAAATATACAATGTTTTAAATAACCATTGATAACATCACAACATTTGTAAATTGTACCATTTGTAATTTATTTATGTGATCAAAGCGGAATGTTCAGCATCATTACTTCAGTCTTCGGTGTCACATGATCCTTCACAAATCATTCTAATATGATGCTCAAAAACGTATCAATGTTGAAATCAGTTTTTGCTGCATTTGTGTGGAAACAATGATACCATTGAAACATTTTTGGTAAGATTATAAAAAGACAAATGAATAATTGTATTCATTAAGGATGTATTAAATTGACATAAGAAGACATTTATAATGTTACAAAAGATTTCTATGTAATAAATGCATAAATAAATAAACTTTCTATTCTTCAAAGAATTATGAAAAAGCATAACTACTTCCACAATAATGTTAAGCTATGTTAATGTTAACTTTTTCCAACAATAATAATCTGAATTGTTTTTTAAGCATCAAATCTGCATATTAGAATGATTTCTAAAGGGTCATGTGACACTGAAGACGTGTAATGATTGATCAATCAGTTATCAGCCATATTTTGACTAATAATGTTTTACCGGTGTAGAAATATAATAAACATCTGCATTAACACCTGAAATGAATACAAACTTACCTTCGAGCTCCATCAGAAAATCCTGGAAGTGATTCAGTATTTGAACCTCTTTGATATGTTTTAGAGTGCCACTCTCACTCATTTGTGGAACAAGATGGGATACAATGTAATGAGAGTCCACCTGAAACACAACAAAAATGACAAACATTATATAAACAGCATCATGCAATATACAAAGAAAACATAATTTAAGGATTACTGCTGTAACATCTTTTAAACCAGCTATGCAAAATAGAACTAGTACGTTTTGAAAATCCTATCACTTCACCTTATCATTACCACCTTGCATAACAAAGAGGCTGCGGCACACTTCCCTGTTCTTCTCCATAGTGTCAATTAAACAGTAAAGCTGTAAACCTTCACGGAGCTGCTGAAGCATGAGTGTTCTCCGAGCAGCAGCATGCATTACAATCGCTCTTTAAAGAAATAAAACAAAAATTTCAGTGTTAATGTTTAACCATTGTATTTTCTGTGGAAGATACATAAAATAAATACATTTAAAAAATACTGCAGAGTAAAACCTTGTTATATTCTCCTTGTTGTCCTCATTTATAGGCCCCGTGTAGCCACAGTTGACAATCTGTTCACTGTAAGATGACAAGTCTGAGGCCTCCTCGATCTTTAAGTAGAGGAAAATCTAAGTGTTACACTTCAAAAAAAAAAAAATACATGGCAATAGAAATAACCTAAGACAATTTGTTTTCTGATACCATTTTAATCAGTGGTGAAAACTCAGCATCGTAAACGTTATCCTTGGTAGCGTTTTCAAGGGTTCCACTCAACAGAAAATCATAACACCAGTCCTGAAGAAATCTTGGAGCTGGGCCACCCTGTGCAAGGCTAACAGCAAAGACCTCCCCAGCAACTCTGTTGCAATGACAAGTAAACAAGAAACACAGTATAGTAGGTTTTACAATTTACCAGTTAGTGTGTACCGGTATTTGAAATTTACATGTTTAAATTACATTTGCTTTTGAAAGGATTGTTCAGCCTAAAACAAATGCTTCCTATTTAGATCCAGAAAAGTTTAAATGTCATTGATTTTTGTACAGACAATAACAGCTGAGATTTTCTTATTTGTTTTCCACAGAAAAAGGCACACTTAAGTTTGGAATGACATGAGTGTGAATAAATGACAACATTCATTTTTGGGTGACCTATTTCTTTGAGGAGAAACACTTACCGAAACAGGCCATTGTCAAGATCATTCAATGAATATTTTGGCATTTTGCCTTTGCCCTCCTCTCCTTCGAAGAGTCTGGTCTCTATGCCACCAATCAGTTCTATATATATATATATATAAAAAAAATAGATATCTAACCATAACAAATTAACAAGAAATCAAATGTTTTTTTGGTGTAGCGTTTAAGATATGTTACCAAGTAAAAAAAATATAAAAATTCTGACCTGTCAGGAATTCTTTTCGTAGAGCACCTGTGTCAACTCCAGCCTCTCCTAAGAAAGTAATCTTTAAAGTGTTGACTGGGGAGCTGATCTTTTGTCGCCTCCAAAGTAACAGACCTCGTTCCACAAGGTTCATTCTGGACACACAGATGCTGAATCCCTTGGAGGTGTCAACTTGAGCAGCTAGCCATCGTAGGACATCCTCCTCACTGTAAATTGTTTTTATATTTAACTGTTAAATCTTTTAAATATTCAGCACGGAATGGTTTAGACCGCATGATACATAAGTTATACATTTTTACTTAACAATATTAATGTTACTTTTTTAAATGAAAGTACCATGACATCTCTTCATTTTGTGGCTTCATTATATCAGGGCTCCTTGTTTGAAGGGACTCTGAACTAGGAAAAAAAGGAACTGTGAAAATATAATACTGTTTATGTGAAGTAAAAATATTGAATTCAGTGCATTTATATGTAGCTAATTTCCATTAAAGTCTAATTTATCAAGAAATGTCAAAATATACATCACGCACCATAAAATTAGACTGCAGTTTCTAAACTGCTATGTGTATTGCATTACCTTTCCAAGTCACCACAAACACTTGCATGGAGCTCCAATTCCATCAGAGGAAACGTTTTCATGCACACAGGACACTTTGCATCTGTCGACTAAAAAGCAAGTAATTATGTAAAATACTAAAAGCAGTCAGAAGGATGTCATCCCATGCCAGAAGTAAATTACCTTTTCCTCGAAGGCTGGAGGTGAATCAGGTACCTGGTTATAGACAAAAAAATATATATGTAAAAAAACATTTCCATATGCAATAGGGGTGTCACAATATATCGCAATACAAAAATGCAACAATATGTATCGTGGATAGTGACAATATGTATTGTGTATAGTTAATCAGTGAAAGGGTGCAAGCATATTCGTTTAATTTAATTCTGTATTTTCAGCTGCAGAATCATGAATACTTTTATTCTGGTGTCACTTTTGTCCTGTTCATTGGGTTTCTAGCACCAAGTCCAAGATATTCATTCACACACAATGTAATACCAAATTTAGCATTTTAATCAACAGTTCATTTATTGTTAATCTTTTACCATACGTTTTGGAGTATCGCAATAATATCGTATTGTGATATGTATCGAGTCGTAACATGAGGGTATCGTTACAGCCCTAACAGCCTACATAAGTTACTTAAAAGGTAACCTTAAAAAAACAACAACAAGATTTTACCTCTGGTTCCGAATCTGAGAGTGTCTCATATTCCAGAGTATCGCATTCCCTCACATGCAGGGCAAGAATTTGAAGTGGCATCATTTTAAAACATTTCTTGCATTCTGCTTTTGGCATTAGCGAAAATTCCTGTGCATCGGAGGGAAGAGGAGAAAGATCGAACTCATCCTGTAAAGGTACAATATACAGCATGGTTTTCCCCCCTCCAGTTGCACATCTGATGGTACTGCCACTGTATCCTTCCGACTCCGGGGGAACAAGATTCAGACGCCGCCTTCCCTGTCCACCTGAATAAAAGTAACAACATATATATATACTCTATTATGTAAATATTTTATACATCATCATCAATATATATCATCCTTTAAAAGTCTTACAAACCGGTTTATGAAAAAAAATATGTATATACCCTCACAAACAGAAAATAAACTGTAAAAGAAATTAATCAAATTAATTAACCTGATAATCATACTAGTAATGCACTGATATTTGTCAATAATAAAGGCATTTTGATGATACTGGAGGTTAAAAACACGTATTTACTCCCTCGTAGACTTTTTGATAGTCAAATGCAAAATAAGATTTAGTTTTTGTCCAAATAGCAAAAGTGTGAGAGGAGTAATGTGTTTTTTTTGTTTTTAACAAAAAAAGTATTTCATTATATGGACATGATCAGCATTTTTGTAATATTTAATTATTTTGCTGTTCATTCTCAGGTATTCACTTTGAATTATGATGTTTAATTGCTGAAAACATGAATATTGACTATACCAACCTATTTAAACGTACATAAACAAATAAAATATACATGAAACTAGTTGCATTGTGTGATTCTCTGAATCTCTGTAACTTGCACTTAGAACTTGTAGTGGTGTCCAAATAGTACCAGATGCCTTGTAGAGAAGCCATCCTCCAGATGCTGACTTCATTTTGGGGTAGGTATCACAAAACAAGCTGGAAACCTAAAATCCACAATTACAACAAATTATTATTACAAATAAAGTTATGGTATCCATCAGCTATGAATGAATATTTTATGCATAACCTCTGAATGAGTCAAATCATCAGTCATTGACAGATTTCGTTTCCCCAGTCCAGCCTGCATGAGTTGCAGCTCCTCCGCTGATGAAGGGGTCATTTCTAAATTTTTATTTAAAAGAAACGCTGAAAACACAAATGGTTTCCAAGCTTTGATGAACTTGGCTGGTTTACTACAGCTGGGTAAACGCCTTTTGGACCCCCGCTTAAAAAATCCTGGGAAAGACCTTCAAGAGATGATTAAATAAAAAGTTAGTAACTCAATATTTAGAACAATATATATATATATATATATATACATTCTGTGACAGATTGCTTATGCTACTCTATGTAGGCTTATGTAAGTTGCTTTGTGCTTTGGATAAAAGCATCTGATAAATGCATAGGCTACATGTGAACAAAATTGCATTGAAAATAGTAACTGTCATTGTTTTCAGTCATGACTGCAAGCTGAAACCTGGCCATCTCTTGGTCCACAGTCTGACACTGTCCTGAGCGCTGCCCCTGATTCTGACTCTGCCTCGTGCTGGTTTTACCCAGCGACTGGTTGAGCACCTCTATGATGTTATGTATAGCTGATGCAGCATCTGCTGCACCGACATTTGAGCCTTGCTGCAGAATAAAGATCAGTCTGAGATCTTTGCTTAAATTACATCATGTAACATCCTTGAACGCATCACATATGTTGGGGTATAACAAAAATGTTGGGGGTAGCAATCAAAGTACTCAAACTACAAAAATTGCACTGCAGACATGTGAATAATAAGAATATAAACACGTCAAGATCGATCTACTAGACATAAAGACATAACTTGGATAGAGAGCAGAAAAAACTTGTTTCTAGATTTGTCTATGGATTTGATATTAAACTTACCTCGGGCTGCCTCGAATGCCCTGCAGTTGAGGATGTTGATGATGCTCCGTGCCGCTCCTGATTACTCATCTCGGTTTTATTAATATTGATGATGTGCTAGCTGCTACTGTTGTTAGACTGTCACACACGATGATGTCTATGGTCACACAGATTCCAAAATTCGCGCCGCTGAAGTCTCTCCTTCCGGTTCAAGGAGCTGTCAATCCAAATCTCACTAGCCAATGAGAGCAAACCGCTGTTAAGCCCGCCCACACGGTAGGTCTGTGCCAGAATTGCGAACGAAAACTTCAGAAGCGTAAACGAAAATGTCAGAAGCGTAAATGAAAACTCTGGAAGCGCATTTGTAAGTTCAGATCAGCGAAAGAAATATGAGAAATAGTTAGCAAAACATGCAGTGTACTAAAAACGAAGTCAATAAATTTGCCAGCGAGTTATTCTTTTTCAGTTTCAAAGATATTTTATTCAGTTTCAATTTATATTTTCATTGATTTCTTGAAAAGTTACGTACATTTTTATTGGCACAAAAATAATTCCATATGATTTGATGATGAATGAATGAATGGATGAAATAGGTGACGTGTTTCTAAATTAACCCGTTTCACACGAAACGCCCTTTACGATATTTGACATGCGATGGATGATCTGAACACAGCTGAAGACTTGAGTCTGTGTTGTGCTTCATAAATCTATTACCAGTCGTAATAAATCTTGAACGCTTGCGAACTTGTTTATGTTTTGAATAGCATGCTACTCATGTAGTATTTAGTAGCCTATATAATGCATGAAGAACTGCAGTGTGCTTGACCAGACCCTACTGTTGAGGATGAACCACTGATGTCGACTGCAGTCCTTATTTGTGCTCCAGGACTTACTTGATTGAACTACTGCAGTTTTAAAGGAAATTGTGAGATCACTTGAAAAGTGAATGTTTATCTTTGCATGCTGTTCATATATCAGGAGGCAGTATAGCCTATGTACAGTGTGCTGTGCAGTGTGCATTTTATTAAAACTTTCTTAAAAGTCTGCATTGAAATGGAAGTTGTGACAGTCTTTTCTTTTCTATAGTGACGTAGTGAAACGGCTTCTCAAACAAGAATAAATGTAGTGCGGGCTTGCTTCTGTGGGGAAATGATTGGATGGCTGTGGTTTGCTATTGGTGGATCTCATGTGAGTGACATCATCAGGTAAGATAAGAGAAGAGAAGAGAGATTGCTGCAAGAGGGAGGGGAAGTTATCTTGATTAAAGATTAAGACTCATTAAAAAATAATAATGATGTGGCACGCCTAAATAATTTATTATATACACTGCAATATTCTATAAAAAATAAGAATTGTTGATTTTGATTTCATGGTGACTTCCAATTGAGTAATAATTAGATGTCGAAGTTGTGGTTTAGATTAATTCCAGATCATTTACAAGTGTCAAAATGAAAGTCAAGTCGAACACATTGCATTATGGGATACAGTATTCCATTTGTAGTATATACTACATACTTTTGCATTTGTTTTTGACCTTTTAGGCGTCTCATTTGTGCAGAAAAGTTTTTCCTTTGTGTTTTTTATGTACAACTTTGTCCAAATGATTTCCGTTCACAAGGATCTGCGAAAACGACTAAAAACGCTGTATTGCCAGGCCAGTGGATGGCGATGTCACTTTGTAAAGAAACACTGCATTGCCTATGCATGACGTCACCGTTGTCACAAATTTGCGCTTTCGTAGTTTACACAGAGACGATAACGGTATCGTTTTCAAAAACTTGCACTTTGAAACCCATTTTCAAAAGCTTCCATTTTTAGGCCGCCAAAATGCCGTTGTCGTGTAAACGAACGGACAAAAAGCATAAAAAGTTTGTGTAAACGGCCCATTAGATGTGTATTTTATCTTATTTAACTGTAATCCTGATAGTTGCGCTGGTATAATCATTCCTGCACCACGCATTGTCGCATCTCGCACAGTTTATTCCCTGCATACAAAACTCTCCTGACTTATTTATGTATTCTTATGTATTTATGTATAACTTAAAGGTTCTCTAAGCGATGTCGGGTGACGTCACTTCTTGTTGACGTTTAAAGTATTGTCAAACAAAACGGAGGCTAGCTAGACCCTCCCTCCTCCTCATCCGCGCACTAACCCCCCAAACCCCGCCCCCAAGTCCTTCTTGTCGGTGATTGGCTGGAACTGTTTGTCATGTTTCGTGGAGCGGGTTGGCCCAGTTTGTTTTTGTTGCTGTGTGTGGAGCCTGGGCTGTCTACAGAGATCGCGTTTCTTTTCAGTGTGTTCAGGGGACAGGCAGCCAGCGGATAGTGAGGAGATGTTTGCTGTATGTGACAAAAAAATTTTTGGCCTAAAAAACGCGTGACATCGCTTAGAGCAGCTTTAAATGTATTAAAAACGCTGGAGCCCTCAAATCATTTTTATGATTAGTCATTAGTCAGTCTTCTTGCAATGACTGGTGGGTAATTTTCTCTCTCCACCTCCTGTAAGTGATGTATCGATGTTCCCTTATTCCCTATTCCTTTGAACTGAACATGTTCACTCCCTTCGGATCAGAATCTCATTTAGTTGAAATACACCGTGATGTTCACTTCATAGGGCATTTACTGTGTGATGGATGGAACACACTTCCAGACTTTGCTGAAGTAAACTGTGTGATGTGTACTGGATGTATTGCATGTCTCAGCAGCCAGTAGTGTGAGTTGAAGTGGTGCAAAGCCCTAGACGTGAGGCAATTCCCTGCCTGCATTGCTGGGCTAGATAGGAATGTGTGGTTTTGACTTTTTTTGCTCGTCAGACAACCTTTGAAAAGGCCATGCCAAAGACTGAGAACTTAGACTTCTTGCATTGCTTTCCCAAAGCTGTGATTGGTTCAGGAAGGGGAATCTGTCTGCATTCCTGATCATTACAGAGCCAGTGTTAAAGGAATAGTTCACTTAAAAATAAAAATTGTCTACATTTACTCACCCTCAAGTTGTTTCAAACCTGTATGAGTTTCTTTCTTCTGCTGAACACAAAGGAAGATATTTTGAAGAATGTCGGTAAGTTAACCAGACCGTTGTTGGACCCCATTGACTTCCATAGTATTTTTTTCCCCTACTATAGGGTCCAACAATTGTCTGGTTACCGACATTCTTTAAACTATCTTCTTCCTTTGTGTTCAACAGAAGAAAGAAAAAGGAGTAGGCTAATCAATGACAGAATTTTCAAGTGAATCTTTAAGTGAACTATTCCTTTAAGTACGTCTGCCTGTGTCCTCCTCGAAACACTGTTCATACTGGTTTCTGTGGTTATATTCTTCCTCCGTTCTCGAACCCTTCATTCTTCAGCTGTAAGTGTATGTTGCCGCCGGTTCACTGGAGCATGTTCTCGGTTAGAGCCGTTCCTGGACGACCGTGTGGTTTGGATGCCATTGTCAAGGCTGAGGTTAAAGTGATGTCGGGACTAAAATGCCTCAGCAATGTCTGTGGGAGGCTGTTTGCTCATGACCTCCAAGCATTTGCTAGATTGTGCTGAATGAATCTTGATTATTTTGAATGATATGCCATGACTCTCACTCAGGATAGATAGTGAGAGGAAGTAGTCAGTGCTGTTTTGAAGCCACCACAGATGGTTTCTATTGACACCACAGACTGAAGTGTCTCAAGGTTGGCTTCTGTTATGATTCCCTAACTAATATTCCTCTGGCCTGTTGTGTCTCTTCGTCTCCTCTAGTGGGCGTATAACTAATAGTCTTGAAAAACAATCTGTTGGGCTCTTAGTGTTTTGACTGTTTGGGAAGTCCAGATGGTTCCACCCCAGTTCTGCCACATTTTCCCCTCATAAAAGCCACCAAACTTTGAGCCTTGACATGCACCAGCACTCCAAGAAAAGCTTGTAAAAACGGGGACCAATGTACTGCGTTAATATGAAGGAATTTTCCGTATTAATTTTGTATGTGTGTATTTTGAATTACACGTTGCACTATGTTGTGTTTTAGGGTTAAAGGAAATGTCTGTAAACTTGGCAGAAAATTACTGGTAGGGCCTACCTTTTCTGTTTTTCAAAAAAAAAAAAAAATCTTACAGTGAATAAGACCTTTTTCCACTTGGAAAGAAGCATAAAATGCATTTTTACATGTTCGTAAGACATTGACTGCGTCTGAAATCGCATAATCTCTTGAGTAGTAGGGCTGGGGGAAAAAATCGATTTGATTTAAAAATCGAGTTGGTAGGTCAAATCGATTCATATTTTCAAAAAATCGATTTTTTTTCTCCCCCTCTTCAGTATAGCGTACATACATTTTGCATTCGCCAAATCTTCCTTCAGTGTTTCCGTAGCACGCTCCCTGCGGCGCAGATCGGGTACGACATGA